CTGCATAAGAAATCGTTGGGAGCTTGAATCTTAGAGACGTATATAAATATAATAAACTGTAAATATTATTAAGAGATTTACATAAGAATGCACTATCCAGTGTGCACACTTTTTCCCATTTATATATTTTTACTATTTGTTTTTATTGTTACTCTTTTATAAAAAATATTCGTTATAAATGCAATATTTAATATTTGGGAAAGAGTGTACTATACTATTTTAAATAATTGTAAAAACATACCATTATAATATATTAACGTGTTATAATGCGTTAACATATAATGCGTTTGTAAATTGCATGTAAAGTATCAAAAATATATTCTCAAATGCGACAAAAAGAGAAGGGAGTTTAAAAAGATAAAAGAGAGTATTATAATTCCTTTTTTTTCTTTAATTCCCATGTTATAAGTTATTGTTTCATTCTTATTATTTATCGATGTTCATTTATCGATGTTCATTTAGATATTTTTACAAAATACTCATTTAGACGCGTTAATAGTGACTGAGGACATTTTTTCATAATAAAAGGATATATTAACCGATTTACAAGAATATGATAATTATTAAACAAGCTCAATAGAAGTTTATTTTTTTTCTTGCAAAATCGATTGCTAGAATTACAAAATCTTAAGGCATAACGCGCGCGCGCGCGCGCGCGCGCACACACACACACACACACACACACACACACATTTATATATGTATATATATTTTACATATGTTATGTACATATGAGAAGTGGCCTTGTTTATTAAACATATAAAAATAATAAATAACAATTGATACACGCCTTCTTCACAAATAAGATTTTTATATATATGCAGCAGTGTATCCTTTAAAAATAATTCATAGATTTTATATAAAGATTTGGCGTAAGAATGCCTAATTTATGGTAATAATGAGGTGATCATCACCTTGATATGATTAATTTTACGCTTAACATCTTAATTATTATTATCATTCTATGTTGTATCATAAATTTATATATTCCATATATAGAGTATGGTCAACGCGATGTTACAAATGCTTTAAAGTGTTTTTTGATTGGTTAATTCGTAAAATTCTTTTTTTTTTTATCAATCAAACTCACTTCATTTATAACAAGACTTTGATCACAATCATAGCCATATATAAAAAGCACCAGCATGCATATTTCATACGCAATTAATCCAAATTATGTCATTGAAAAATCTTTAGTACATACTTTTTCCTTGTACTTTGCAATTTTCCTTGTACTGGCATTTCTAATGAATCAAGTACCATCTGAATAAGATATGTAAAAACGTATGCATCCGCGATCGGCACAAAAAGCTTCATTTTCATAATATTAATTTTATAGAAAAATCGTTAAGACATTGAATGCAGAATATTTCAATATGCATTTTGTACAAACATCAAATTCGCATATAAATACAGGCAATATAAATTCATAGTAAGATCTCGCTTAAATAAAAATCACGTGCTTTACTGCTTTCATTATCAGATTCATATCAGAGAATAAGACAAATTTAGATTAAAGTTAAAATTATAATTACGCCTATCTCTTATGTAATAATTTATATTTATTATTATTATTATTATCATCGTCAGTACTTTATCACAAGCCAATAGTGTATCAAACACTTAAAATACTGTCAGTAGCTTAAAAGCTGCACAAAGCGTTGATAGAATAAGGACGTTTAATCTGATCTTATATCTTAGGTTGTATTCTGGAAAGATCACAATATATTATTTGTCATATATATGATATTTGTGGCTCGAGTATTTTATTAAGATTCATAAGAAAAAGAATATAAGCCAACTAATAAAGAAATCGCATATTCATTACTATAATATCTTATGCGGTCCATATATTCTTTGGAGATCTTAATTGTTTTCTAAGTAAAAAATTTTAAATACAATATCCCATATACACAACTGATGCAATTTCAGTGTCAATAAAGAAAATTCATCATATAAGAAGAGAGTATTGTAGACAGAGGTAAGAGATTCTCTTCAAATTACTTTGTTAGACCTAGAAACAAAGCATGCCAAGAGTAAGCAAATCGATATTCTAAGTATAATTTGTAAAAATATCTATTTCTGAAATCGAAACCGAAAAGAGATTAGTTATTCAAAATTTTTTTAGCAAGCTCATTCAGATTCTCTATAAACTTTAAAAAAAACTGTGTGCATCTTACTGTAAATGTATAAAAAATAAGACAGATCATACAAAATAATCTCTTACAGTTCTACTGTGTAACATATATCCTTATAGATCCTAAATAAAGTTCGTTTCTACGAGTTTAATAGTGCGACGTTGTGTATCCCTCTTCCAAACATAAAGAAAACTTTAAACGATTGTTCCAGAAATGTTGATGTGCATCACATAAAGATCGTATACTGTGTCAGTCTTCTTACCAGCCATTTCAATTATCTGGTCACGAATGTAGATCTTGAGAAAAATGTATCATGCATTATTTCATCGGAATACAAAAAAAATTGTGAAAATTACAAGCTGTGACCTAAAATTACCTACTCAGTGCCGGAAATAGACATGCAGCAGCTCGTACGATGCTGGGACTGTTGTTTAGAGAGATCAACAGTGTCTTCCACTAAAGGCCGCTCTAATCTAGCTTCCAATCGCGCCCATGCATCAACCGCTGCCCCAAAAGCTGCCTCGACATTAGTGGCGTCTTTTGCTGATGTTTCAACTAATGGAGGATTACCATTTTCTGAACACCAAGCTTGAGCTTCTTCCATATAAACTTGTTTCTCAGATTCAGGAACATCCACCTGTAAAAAAACATTGCACATGATATAAGATTACTTGATCTTGCTTTTTTCACAAAGAAAAAAACCAGAAGTGGAAATACGTTCTTGAAATGCAATTTTTGGAAAAAATAGTCCTTTATGCTCATATTAAAAATCCTAAACTCAGGAAAGGAAGAAAGAATATTTACAATTTTTTAGGATCAATTGACTTTTTCCTAAGAGATATATAGAAGATATAAATATAATTCGGATTAATGCATTTCATCTCCATCTTGACAATGTAGACAATAGATAGCAACGTTGTACTCGGATTCCTATTAAGCTGAACTATACTTATACAGAATGTTCTAAAAGTAACGATAAATTTTTCGCACAGGGGCAAAATAGAGCAAACTGAGAAGAAAAGTCTTCTACTATTTTATAATTTTCGCAATAATTAACAAGACATTATTAAAAATTGTTGAAAATTGGTCTTCAATAATTTTTTACTCAAATACTATCAACTTTATAGAAAAACTGCAAAAATTATTTATTTTCTTCTCATAGAGCTCTAAGAAGTTTTTCAGAATTTTTTATCAATTTTTTAGTACTGCACTTTCTTATTTTTATCAATATGAGAAAATATGATATTAAAAAATTCTAAAAAAATTCTTAAAGCTCTGAAAAAAATAAACAATTTTTGTCTCGTGCAGTTTTTCTGTAAAGTTGATAGCATTTGAAAAATAATTAAAGTAAAAAATCATTAAAGATTATTAAAGATCAATTTTCAACAATTTTTAGCAATTATTTTTTAAGAATATTTTATTAACTATTGCAAAATGGTAGAGGACTTTTTTTTCTCAGTTTAGCCCATTCTACTTTTTTGCTTTATCGTGTAAAGATTCAGTACCAACTTCATGCTGAAACAGGCTGATGATTCATAGTCAATTCTTACATTTAAGACTGTCTTAAGTACAATTAAGATGTCGTAAGTCAATATGAAGATTGTATCTTAAGATATTATTTAGACAATTTTAAAATAAGAATGAATTATGAATATCGCCCCATATTTCATGTTTCACAATTGATAACGAACTTTATGAACAGTCCATGGAGAGGGCAGAGAAAGAAACACTGTCCAACTGCACATACCAGATATAAAAATAAAGACAAGGTGTAATGTTCCTGCGAATGCGCAGTATGAATTTGGACCCAAATTTGATTGGCTGTTCTAGTATACTACTGCTATTGTATACAGGAAAATGCATTTGGATCCAAATTTGATTGGTTATTTTAGTATGCTATCGTCATTATGCACGTTTCACCGTGTCTTATTTCACCATATCATGTTATCTTTCCATCATGATATCAGTTAGGCCAGAATCAGACTATGCATTGAAGATTGAGATTAAAGATTAAAGATTGAAATTGAGATTCACCTCAATGAGGACAAAGAAATTTTTTAGCTCCTTTTGTTCTGATTGGTCAAACATCAATCTTTCAATCTTTAATCTCATTCTTCGACATATAGTCTGACTCCGGCCTTAGGCTCGATTGCATCAACATTACTTTAATTTTAAGCGAGATTTAAAACTCTCTTTGTCCCTGTCTATTTTCGGTTTTAAAACAAAATAGAGTTTTAAGTTTCGCTTAAAATCAAAGTAACGTTGGTGCAACTGAGCCTTAGAGATCTTCAAGAGATTGGATACTGTTTAGACAACTTCTGATTGGTCCGCTATATTCCTCAGAATGTCCAAGATAGAACGAGATAGATGCAATAAATGGAATGAGATGCATAGACGTCATTCCAAGGAGGCATAATCTACCTCATTCTATCCCAAGCAGATCCTGAAAAGCATGGTGGATCAAACATATAGTATCCAATCTCTGACTTGAGGATCTCTTGTATCAATATCAGTGTGCTCTTCGCTTTGATAAAGTAAACTGATAAAATTCACGAAATATTGGCATTAGCAATTTTTAAAAAACTATGGAATGTCTGATGCTAGAATTTGGGATTCTTAGTATGAGCACAAAGAATTATCTTTTGCAAAAACCTATTTCAAAAGCACATTTCCATTTCTTCCTTTTTAATTCTGATACCACACCTTATTGCCAACAACAATAAATGGAAAAGTAGAACCCTCTTGAACATCTGCATACTTAAGAAATTCAGATCTCCATAGTGCAAGATTTCTAAAACTCGTCTTATCGTCTACTGCATAAGTAAGCAGACAAATGTCTGAACCTCTGTAAAATGGTGTTCTGAGAGTCTTAAACCTCTCCTGTCCGGCTGTGTCCCATATTTGTAATGTATATGCCTCACCATTGATCTCAATATCCTTGTTCAGGAACTCTACCCCGATGGTATGAAAACTGTGTTCGTCGAAATGATTCGACACGAATCTATTCATAAGGCAGGACTTTCCAACACCACCATCTCCGAGAATCACCACTTTCAAGAGGGTGGATCTCTGCGAGTTTCGATTTTGAAAACTATTGTTGCCTCTGCCTGTACTCACCGACGTTGAATTGTTTGCCAACATTTTCTATATATATCACTTGAGATCTGTAGGCTTATTCTCTCCTCCCAATATCTATCTTAATATTTATCTTAACACGAAGTTTCGTTCAACAATTATTTCCTACGTGTGTACTCAATATTTATTTAAATCTAATCGAATATTATTCTTATAGCTGCTCTGATCAACTGAGAGCTCTTCAGTTTTTCTGAGCCCGTTGAATTATATATCGTAACATAATGTCTTTTCATGTATTATCTGAGATATCTCCTTTCCTCTCTTCTTGTCACTCTTGCTTACATCAAACAGCTAGAGTATCTTGACATCTTTATTCTCTCTTGATTCCGGTGCATAATCTTGATTTCGCGACTCGATCAGCGGCGAGTATCTCATTGATATCCCGAATTTCGAAGCCTCGGCGAACAGAGGACTGTTCAGCAGGATGAATTCGAGTCTATTTTCGTTTCCGTGATTTAACTGTCGCGTTGGGAATAAGAACGAAAAACGTTCTTTATTTTTACACTTATGGGCGACACTTACGGACGACGCGATAATCAACAACGATAAAGCATTCTTGCGTCTCTAACGGTATCCTCGATCATGTGCACCGACTTTCGATACGGTTCTACCATCATTCGACCGAGAAATGCAGGCTGGAATTATGCCCAGATAACTTTAAAGCCGGTTCTACATTAAGTCAGTTCTATATTAATTCCAAGCTATTGCAAATTTGTTGCGACAGCCAATCTGAAATTGGCACTTTGAAATTAACGCTTCACATTGGCTGTTCGTAAATAAACTTATGATCGGCTTGCAATTAATATAAAACCGGTTTAATGCCTGTTCTACAATAGAGTCGCAAGTCGTAAGCCAAAGAAATTAGCCAATCACAATTAAGTGTGAGAAGAATCGACTATTGATTAATTTCTTACGGCTTACTGCTTACTCTATTGTAGAATAGGTCTAAAGCTATAGGTTATGGTTATATTATAGCAAAAATGCCTAAGTAACCCTAGAGTTATCTGCGTAATTTCTGAACGCAACCCTAGGCAGAGAGAACCTGGGGTGCATTTCAGATTCTGCCAACTCTAAAGAACTCAGAATAGTAGGGGAAAGAGTAAGTCAGAGTACGTTACTTGAGTTAAACAAATTTGGAACGTGAAAAAATAAGGGAGATGAAATCGTTAGAGATGAAGTCATTAGAGATAAAGTCGTTATGATCTCTATATTATATTAGGTGTACAACTTTACTTCCGCCGTTTTTTTTCCGAAATTCGAGGCTTATTGTAAAAAACTGGTTATACATTTATGATTCAAAGTATTGTCCATTACTGGCCACTACTTTCTCCCATCTTTCGGGTAGCGTACGAATTTCCCGCATCGAAAAAACTGGTCATCTTTTGAGGCTATTCATGAATCGATCCAATTTTTTACTTCTTCATAAGAACGGAAGTGCTGGCCAGACCGTGTGCCATTGATCGAAACAAGTGGTAGTCAGAGGGAGCAACGTCTGGAGAATACGACGGGTGGGGTAGGACTTCCCATTTCAACGTTTCCAAGTATGTGTGTCTTGACCACTTTTGCAATATGGGGTCGAGTATTGTCATATTGCAAAACCACTTTATCTCTCGTTGTATTGCGGCCGTTTGTCTTTCAATGCTCGGTTCAAACGCATCAATTGCGTTCGATACCGATCGCCTGTGATTGTTTCAGTCGGTTTTAACAGTTCATAATACACTACGCCGAGCTGGTCCCATCAAATACAGAGCATGATCTTGGACGTCAAAATCACTCATTTCTTGAAGCGTTGAAACCACTCACGACACGTTCTTTCTAATAGCGACCTCACCTCATAAGTATTTGAGAGCATTCGATGAGCCTCAGCCGCAGATTTCTTCATATTGAAGCAATTAAATAAAAATTAAAATCTCCCGCAAATGACGAGAATTTGGCTCGTAAACTGACATTTTCAATCGAGAATAACTTTATGATGCAGACACAAATCGACTAATGTTTTTATGGGGTTATGTTGACAGATGCCCAAGTTTATTGTATGACGTCTATGATCTATTTATTTCGACTATCACTTACCGCTAAAGCCATCTAAAGGAAAACGGCGGAAGCAAAGTTGTACACCTAATATATACAGATCATATATTATGTTAATAATAAAGTTTTTTCTAAATGAGAAAGATATTTAATATACAATATTAAAATCATATCATTTAAATAATGTCTTAATCAATGTATGTGAATCAATAACCTTAATATATCTCCTTGATTTTTGAAGAAATTAAAGCTATTTATTGAATGGTTCATCTTTCGTTTCGCACGCACGCATACACACACACACACACATGCGCGCGCGCGTAGCATAGTGTAAAAAGTAAGGTGAAGCATTCCCACGGATGCGCAGGGGTTGAATGTAATGGGAAGATCTGTCAACCAATCAATTTTTGAGTTCATTTGCAGAAATTCACATGATTCGTTCTGCAAATAAATACACTTTGATTGGTCGAACTCCGCCATTATGTGCAATGGTTCACCTTATATAATTCCATCATGGTTGTAGCCATTATCTTTATTTAGATTGTAGGGTGTTTTTGTATTTCTATGGATTCTCTATATTTTCTTGGAAAGTATGAAGTAATATTGGCTATTGTGATCGTTTTGTCAAACAGACCTGATATTCTATTTCGATGTTGTGTTCTGATAATGCTGACTACATGACGTGTTTTAGCCTCCAACATTATGTTGGTGTTCTTTTATCCGGTAGGTTGACCATTCTCCCGATTTTCCAATGTATACTTGCTCGCAGAAACAAGGTGTTTTGTATACTTCTGCGGAGCTGAGTGGAGGTTTTTGATCTTTAAGATTTCTTATCCTATCTTTTTGGATGGTTTAAAGATAGTTTGGATATTAAAACTCACATGTTATTTAGGATGCTCCCTCTTATTGATACCTTGAAGGCCGAGCGGCCGAAATTGCTGAGAAAGCCATTTTTAGTCGCTTGAAACAATCGACTAGTGTGAGAAGAAGCTTGCTGTCTCATTTACTCTCGGCTCGCAGCAGACGAGCATATGGACATAGGCTTGTTGTGTATTACAGCGCCGCATCACGAAAAATGATCGAACTTATAGACGTGGAAAAGTAACATTTTGACGATGAAATTTATGTTGCGTGCCATTTCATTATTATTTGCTTAATTGTGAAAATGTGACTTGTTTCGTACTTCAAGGTTGTAATTATCGATGAAAACTAAAGTTATCTTGGAATTTTATATGTAAAAGCGAATATTTTACTCGTTTCAATAGCTATCGAATCATGTGTTTCTCCGAATGTAGGCTCACTTTACGTGTCTTTTACGATCATTTACTGACTGAGAAAGGAAAGGACTGTTTTCATTGATTTTTACAAATGTTTTAAAATGATTTCGTCATTTCGTTTCATCCAAATTATCTTTATTTAAAAAATAACACTCAATATTATAACTTAACAATAAATTAACATGTCATTCCTCGCTTCTGACGTCACGATTCCAACATGGTCGCCGTGACTAGCTAGGAGCCTTAAAGAATACATTTATTAATTCATTTCCTTTTTTTTTTGTTACATTTGTTGTTAATTAACTTTGAATTGAGGAAAAGAAAATGAAAATAAATGGAAGTATAGCTATTATAATATTATAGATATTGTGTTACATTAATTAGTTATATATTTTCGTAATCATAGCAATATTCCATTTATTATAATGACTTTATGTTGGCAACGTAATGTTATGTTCACCAGAGTGCATCAGTTTAGAAATTGTATGTGAGGCACGACTTCTTAAAGCTAAGTAGAAGTATGTTCGCATTTATTTTATCGACGGACATTATAACTTACATGCACATGCGTTGACTAGTAGATCCATATTCAGAACGCGTTTACAATGATGTTAATGAGCTATAATTTAGGTTATGCATACTATAGAATTTTAGAAATAAAAGCGCGGGTCATAATATTTCTACGTCACGGGCATGCATCATGAGTTTAATATATAGTTTTCGGAATCATGTATTAGAGCCAAGTCAGCGATTTAGTGTTAGATATGAATATCTATGGGACACAAGCAATACAGATATATTTCTCGTATAGAAACCAAAAAAATGCAGCATGTTGCATTTTTTCCGTATCTACTAACTTCATATTCGAAAACTCACTGTTCACCAAATCTATTTTTTAAATATGCTGTCTATATATCAATGATAAACTTAACAAAAGTTATCAATGATAACTTAAACAAACATCAACATGAGACTATAAATGCTTTATTAAAGTATTCTTTGATTAATTGATTAAAAAAAAAAGGAAAAGAAGAAAAGGAGAATTCTTGTATTTTGTTACGCAATAACAAATTAAATAAAGTAAATAAATTTAAAAAACGTAGCAATTTAGAAATAATCATTTTTAAGTAATATATCAGGATTATAAGTTTGTCTCTGCTTAAAAACTAGATAGAACCTGATTGAGTATGATAGAAATTTAAAGTTTATAAGTCTATATTATCCTTATCGCTATCTTGTTTTTCTCCCATATTTTCAGGATGAATACTAATACGTTTACTGAAATATTTTAATCATATCTATCACTAAAAGTCTATTACTAAAAGTCATATTAATCATTTCATCAGAATTTTTATATACGAAACCGCAAAATGTAGATACTGACACATAAGAATTTCCTGATAGAAAATGGTTGAATATAACAGGGCAATAAGAATCAAGTACGGCAATTCTTGTGTAAACTATATGATTAACAAAACAACTTTATTAATAATTAATTCGCTTACGCTGTTTCGGCTCATTTTTAAGCTATCCTCAGAAACAATATTGTAATTACAAAAAATTTTTTTATAAATTAATTCATTTCAGTGAACCACCTCCATCTATTAACGGAAACTATAATATAAAAATGAATTCTAATAATAATCTAAAATGTATTAAAATTATTAAAAGATTTGTTGAGAGAGAAAACAAAAACGATTTATTGTAAAATAATAGAAAGTAGCTCATTAAAACAAAAATTCATCATATCACAAACACTTAAATTCTATCGGTTTAATCAAAAACCAGTCTTTGACCATTCAGCGAATCAGTATCAATCATGAAACTAATGAATAACTTTTAATACACCTAAAATGTTAATTGCAAAGAAAAAGAAAAAAAAAGGGAAAAAACTCTGATATTAATTATAATCCAGACGGACATTGAAACCAAAACTGAATCTTTAATAATTTAATCTTAATGTAACAAAGAATGTACACTAATGATAATTTCCTGATAGACTTGAATCTATCTGGAGTAATATGAAAATCCAGATACTTATCATATTGTTCTATATCTGATTTTTCCGATATATGTGTAGTCGACGCAAATATATGGTTTGCGTATATAGCTCTATACGTATTTCCTATCGCTCTATCGGAACAAATATTTAACTTCTGATCATAGACGTACTGTTTTCAATATGTATATTTCGATAATAAACACTCCTCGCATATAGCTCTATACGATCTTTCCGAAAGTTTATACCGCTCTATCGGAATAAATATGAGATTTCCGATGAGAGTTTTATTTTCAATACGTACATTCCAAAAATCCAAATCTCGCGTATATGACTATAATCGCGGAATTTTCGAAAGTTCGGAATTTTCCGCTTTTGTCAATTATAACGAAAAACATGATAGAATATACATCCTATATAGTACCGAAAGTTTTCTGAATTCATAAAATAATCGAAAAAAATTCAGAAA